TTTCATTATTCAGACTATTGTCCTCATCTTTGTCGCCATATTTATTACAAGCATAGAAATGAATACAATATGGGAACCAGTAATAAAGAGTACCAGAGAAAAGCGATAACAACAATAAAAGTTGCAATATGAGCTCTGGTAAAAAGATGGAATGATAACAACAAAAAAATTGCAATATGAACACTGGTAAAAATGGTTGCTGAAGACATTAGGTTTATAATACCCAGAAATTCATACACAGATGTCCTCATGGCACAGTAGATAAAGGCGTTGGCTAGATGCAGTGACAGGACTGCATACCCAGTTAAGGCAGTGGAGAACTTTCAGAGGGAAATTAACAGGAGATAACTGATAACTGACATCAAACATGGCACGTGGAACTAGAACAGTCTACCCCAGTGAGCAAAATAAAGGGTTCAGTTCGACATTCCGACAACGGCCGAAACGTTGTAATAAATATGGCGGCAATGATGAGGACGATAGTCCGAATCATGGAAATAATGTTAAAATTTACACTTTTGATGGGCAGTATTAAGCTTATATAAGTTGACATAGAATGTAGCGAGAGATGGTGTTAGAGACATGGTCGAGTTTAGAAAGGGAAGGGAGAGTTTTAAACGTATAGAAAACATTATATTTCTTCTTATAATATTAATATTGCGGAAGGAGTGAGTAAGGATCAGACAATGACCAATTTAATCGGTCAACTCAACGGAAATGATTTGGGGAAGGGAAAGGAGAAAAAAGGGAAAAAAGAAAAAAAGGAGAAGTAAAGAGAAAAGTGATGTACTTAGGGTTTTCGGAGGAAGACGTGGGGTGGTATAGCTTTAGCAAGTTAGATAAAAATAGATTTTAACGTTTGATAGGAATTTAAATGTTTAAAAAACTCCACAAAGTAATTAATTTAATGCTTGTTAGCAATTTAAATATTCACCTTCTCTACAAATAAGTTAGGTATTTAATATAAGTTGAATACAATATTAATAAACAACAATAATTAAAAAAAAAGTTTACTAATAGTAATATTTTAATATTGTGAATGACTGTTAAGGTAAAAACTTTATCACTTTCATGAATTTAATTTGTAGCTATTTTTAGATGGGTTATATTTCTTAATTAAAGTTTAGGTTTCAAATCAAGATGGAGTAAGATATGAAAGTAAAAGTAAAAAAAAAAAAAAATGTTTTTTATCCCACATATATATCTACGTAAAAATCACATATATACACGTCTATGTACATGTGCAATTACACATATAACCACATACACATGTATCGATATGCACCCGTATATATGCATATACATATACAAATACCTACACATATAATTACATCTCTCCACACGCATTCATGTTTCTACCCATTTAAATTTTTTCCTTAAATTTTACAGTTAACGTTAGGTGGTGAATTATATATATATATATATATATATATATATATATATATATATATATATATATATATATATATATATATATATATATATATATATATATATATATATATATATTCACCCAAGGAAGGCGGGAAGCCACTAGGACGCAAGCGGTTACAGAAAATTTAGAGCAAGATCAGATAGGAGTGATAAAAGAAAGGGTGAGGAGAAGGGTAGTGGATAGATCAAGGCAACTGGAAATGTCGATTGACATTACATTTGAATAGCTGGAGATTATAGCTCTCAGGGAAACTGGAATAGGGAAGGGCGTTCCACAAACGAGAGATGCGAGACATGAAGCTATTGGAGTAAAAGAGACGGCTACATTTAGCAGTTTCGACAGTGAAGGGGTGAGAGCGGGATGCCAGCCTCGTAGAGCGCTTGGACTCATGAAGTCTGGGAACCAACGAATGCAGCTCCTCGGAGCAATTACCATGAAAGTATTTGTAAAAAAGACAGAGAGAGGCGACGGCGCGTCTGTGAGAGAGTGACTGTAGACGAGATGCCAGAGCAGGGCCAGTTATATTGCATATCTGCCTCTAGAGCCTATCAAGAACCATGAGGCAAACAGAAGGGGCTCCAGACCATATATGGCAGTAATACTCCATGCAAGGGCGAATTGTTGATTTTTAGATCTGGAGGATCGATTCCGGGGAGAAAAATTTCCTAGCGCGGAACAGGGAGCCAACTTTCCTTGCAATGGACGAAGCAATTGACTCAATGTATTCGTTCCTTCTCAGGTCAGCCATCAACGTGAGACCGACCAGCTGCAGAGAGTTGCTCTCGAGAAATTGAGCTTTGACCAGTCAATTCCTGCGCCAGTTCACAACCGATTGGTAGTCCTTTTCGAGACGCACGGCCAGGTTAGTTTTGTCAGTGACACTAGATTTGTTTTTGAGGCAGGAATAAATTGTGGTGTCATCCGCGTAGATGCCAACTTGGGAATTTATGGCGTCAGGAAGGTCATTTATGTAGATAAGGAATAAAGTGGGGCCTAGGATGGAGCCTTGAGGAACCTGCGTTCGTGGGATAGGAACTGGAGGAGAATCCGTTGAGAACGACCTTCAATTCACGGTTTGACAGGAATGATTGTATTAGGTCAAACAATCGACCCGTAATGCCATAACCCTGGAGCTTGCGAAGAAGGCCGGCATGCCAAACCTTATCAAATGCTTTGGAGATGTCTAGGGCCACGACACGAGCTTCCCGCGTTATTTTGAAGAGCTCGGTAGACGGTTTACAGTGATGGCCGTAAGCACATCAGCTGTAGAATGATTAGGACAAAAGGTGTTACTATGGGCAAACACACTGACGAGTAGGGGAGAAAAAAATACAAAAAAAAAAAATTTAAGATTTAAAAGTTTAAAAAGAGAAAAAAAAAAAAATAAAGGGCCACGACAATAAAGCTTTTATTTTAAGAAGGTGGATTTGGTGGGGATGGCCGAAAGGCCCTCACAAATAATGCTTATGAAAACATGGGGATGGCGAAAACAAAAATGATTACAAAAGGTAAACCATCAAACAGTTACTATAAACACACTGACGAGTAAAAAATACAAAATATTAAAAAAAAAAAAAATTAAAGATTTAAAAAATAAAGAATTAAGAAAAGGAAGGTGGGATTTGGAATTGATAGACTGTCCAGTGAATGTCGGTTTAGATAAAGGCGTTGGTTAGATCCAGTGAGAGGACACAAAGAGTGTGAGTTCAATACCTGCTTAAGGCAGTGGAGAACTTGAAGAGTGGAATTAACCGGAGATAACTGATAACTGACAACCATTAGACAAAGCACGTGGAACTAGAACATTGTACCACACTGAGCGAAATAAAGGGTTCAGTTCGACAATTCAAATACCTGAAGAAGGCCGGAGCGTACAACGGCCGAAACGTTGCAATAAATATGGCGTCAAAGATGGCGACAATAGTCCGAATAATGTAAATAGTGTACATAATACATCATCTCAGAAATATAGACAGACATTGAAAGGTAGAAATTTTATAATAAGTATGGCGACAATGATGAGGACAATAGTCCGAATAATGTAAATAGTGTACATAATACCTCATCTCTGAAATATAGACAGATACTGGAAGGCCGAAACTTTGTAATAAGTATGGCGACAATGATGAGGTCAATATCCGAGTAATGTAAATAGTGTACATAATACCTAATCTCAGAAATATAGACAGATACTGGAAGGCCGAAACTTTGTAATAAATATGGCTACAATGATGAGGACAATATCCGAGTAATGTAAATAGTGTACATAATACCTCATCTCAGAAATATAGACAGATACTGAAAGGCCGAAACGTTGTAATAAATATGGCGACAAAGATGAGTACAATAGTCCGAATAATGTAAATAGTGTACATAATACCTAATCTCAGAAATATAGACAGATACTGGAAGGCCGAAACTTTGTAATAAATATGGCTACAATGATGAGGACAATATCCGAGTAATGTAAATAATGTACATAATACCTAATCTCAGAAATATAGACAGGGGGGATCTATGCGAAGACACGGAAATGAATGTAGTAATCTACACAAAGAAAAAAAAAAGAACAAATGCAGTTAGACTAAAGTAGAATAGCTCAATGAAAATGTACAGAAAGTGAAAGAATTGTTTAAAATGAGTCTAGCTGGCCACTGGTATTCGGGGATAACTGTTTACTTGCGAGAGATAACAGCGAGAACAAATAATCAAGAATTACAAATGAAAATAATTCGTAGAAAACAATGATCGCCAACGTCGTGAAAATAGAAGTCATAAAAAAAATAATTGTTCGAAATATGAACACGGTTCACAAACCATATCGTAACACTATCCCCTCCCACACAAATATCCGAAAATATATGACAAGGGTCATAGACTAGATATAAATACAGAGAAAGAATGAAAGCGAATATTGGGTCTTCATCTAGGCACGCGAATATATTACGCGATATTCTTTTCGTCTTTTTCTTTTCTTTTTTTTTTTTTTGCTATGTTTATTTCATATTTTGCAAAGCAGTGACCCTGACTATAGTAACTGGTTCACTGAAGCCTCATTTCCACACTTTTTACTGTACAGGTAAATATAATTAACGTTGAAGTATTCATTTATTTAGAATGACGAGCATGACACAGCGTCTATCTTGAGTTCAGAGATGTCACAATTAAACTCTTCGTAATTCGTATTTATTTTACCGTTTTTCATGTTTTTTTTTAATGAACTTTAAGCGGTATAAAAATGTAAAGTTAAAAAGCGAAACAGAAAATTAAAAGAAAAAAGAAATAATGATCTCTGTAATCTTTGTGAATGTCTGCTAAAGATCGAACTAATTTTCGATGATTACACGCTCAGGTTTTGAATTAGGGAACATTGTAATTAATTCAAGCAGGAATGCCCGTGGGGTAAACCAGAAAAAATGTTCTAAATGTCATGTCATTATCTTAAAAATTAGTTCACTCTGTCTTACATCAGTAGATGGTCGCCAGATGCAACCTGCCGACGGAACTGCGTGTTTGTGGTGAATACGGGAAAGCTTGATGAAATGACAGTGATTGATGATTTCATTTTGACATCCGATACACCGTGATAGCTCATACTGAAAGAATCACCAAAATTAGAATCCTGGATGGAAATCAGGGAAAAATATCTTTGATTCTGGTCAACTAATTTCTGCTAACATAAAATATGCTATCCAACTTTTCTGACAGGAAATAAACCCACAAATATTAACTTATTGAATATGTCTTCCAATTTACACAGTATTATGTAGATAATATAACTGGATTACGGGTATTAAATCGAAAAGAATGATCAATATTATATTCTTCTTAAATGTTAACACTGACATATATTTTCAGATGAAACGATGGTGACTATTGTACACATCACAACGCCTGTTGCAATTTAAGTCTTCCCACCGTGTCAAATGCATGTAGAATTTTGTGAGACAAGTATTTTAATAAAATTGTATATGGGAAAAACCTTCAAAATCAAACACACTTTCAGTAATAAATTTCAACCTGACAAAGCTTGTTAATTATTAGCCTACGTGAAAATAGGCCCAAATAAAAATATTTCATAAAAGAATTGATTTTCTTATGTGCATTAAATATTTTACTTTCACTATGATGGGAACTGATGTTATATATATATATATATATATATATATATACATGAAGAAATATAGTCTTAAGATGTGCTATATTTATGAGATAAAGCGCTCAATATCAGAGATAGATCGTGTGTAAATATAAAAGTGAACATAGAAGTCAGCACATATAGGCGACCGTCTATTTCATGCTAGATGCAATCGTGGCCTGACGATTGCACCTAGCATGAAACAGACGATCGAAGTGTTGACTTCTATGTTCAATTTATATATATATATATATATATATATATATATATATAAAATACAAATGTACAAATATGTGTGTGTGTGTGTGTGTGTGTGTGTGTGTGTGTGTGTGCAAAATTCCCAAAATAAATCTGTAGAAAAACAATTACGACATAAGTGTGTGTGTCTTTCTACAGATTAATTCTGAGGAACGTTTTACGTATTTTTTTGACATGGAAAACAAAAAGAAAGACATCTATGTTGTTATTATTTTTATGCAGATTAATTCTGAATTTTTTACATCTTTGTCGACATAGAAAACACACAAACACACACACATATGCGTGTATATATATATATATATATATATATATATATATATATATATATATATATATATATATATATATATATATATATATATATATATATTTCTATGTGTGTTTTTTCTATATATATACTACAGGCAAAATTTTGAGAGAAACTTGCATTTATTTATAAATACGCCTTAAAATTATATATTTTTATATTTGCATTTAATGTAGAGAATAACATTTTAGTATCTTCAGTGAATTTGCTTTTATTTTTCGGTCTTCACCAGGCTCCTTTCACTATCAAAATGTTCAAATTTGGATTAATTTGTCCGCGATACCTTTTTTTAAATTATGAATATTTTGTAAGTAAACATTATATTTTGTTTTTCATAAGTAACCCCACCCACCGTGATAATTGCTGCTATAAATAATCACTTGGTTATTAAGAGCAAATGAAATAGAAAGAAAACTATTCTGGATTTGACAGCTGAACTTAATTCCTCTAGAGAAAAATCAGTGTCACTCTGAAATATAAAAAAAAAATCAACTTCGATCAGCGGGACTTAGGATGTACATAGCCATCAAGAAGCCTGTATTTTGGAAGTTGAATCATCAGAAAACATTGTTGGGTTCACAAAGACATGAGAATTGAACATTGAAAGAGTAGCAGAATTTATTGTGGACAGATGAGTTCAAATTTGAAATTTTGGTATTAAAATAAGTGAAAAATGCCAGTAGAAAAACTGAATCATGAATGTTTGATTCCTACAGTTAAGCATTGTGATCGGTGTGTTATGGAGTGGTAGCGTTTGGGAAAGGAGAGGGATGTAAATTTGCTTCAAGTCAAGTGAATCCTGAAAAAGGTACCAAAAAATTCGATTTTGCAAATACATGCTATACTATCTGGTTAACATATAATTAGAAAATAAGTAAACTTTCAACAAGACAACGAAGTAAATCACTTTTCTAATTTATTTCAAAATAATTTCGAGTCAAAAAAGGAACAACATTTTGGAAATTATAACTTAGCCCCCTCAATCACCTAACCTCTCTCCCGTTGACTTATTATGGGATGAATTTGAGAGAATTTGAATAGAATACTCAAAGATTGAGAGTGAGCATTTTCAGTGCTTGAAGAATATTTGAGATATTATGTCATCTATTTCTTTCAAAACATTTATAAGAAGTTGTAAAACAGTAATTAAGGCAGACCATGGTATTATTGAGGAAAACAAAATGTGACGCTGTAGCATGATAATTTCTATATTTATGTGTTTAAATAAAACTAAATATATTGTAGGCAGTGAAATTTCATTTTTACTTAAAAATATAAAACTATCTCAATATTAAGGTGTTTGAAGAAGAGCAGGGTGATCCCAAACGTTTGCCTGTAGTGTATAGACACTCAATTGTTCTATTTCACGTAATGGGTATTAAGTTTTTTCGGCCTGCCGAAATAAACATAAAACTCTACATTTAGTTTAACTACAAGGTCGGGAAAATTAGTTTTCTGGAGATATATTAATAAAGCGTCATCAATATACTGGATATATACTGATTGTTTAACGAAAATATTTTAGAAAGTTTCAGAACAAAGAAAAAACGCCCTTAGATATTAAAATTTCATTATTTTTTAAACATCCATGTGTTTCATCAATATATATTTAAATTCACCAATATTGATACAAATTCGCACCCTCTCTTCAATTTTATTCGCTTTTTCATGGTGAGTTCGAAAAAATTCCCAGGTTATTATTGTGGCAAACGCCTTTGGCTAATGATTTAATCATTTTCAAGTTGTTCGTTATTAAACTGTTGTTTTTTTGTATTTATTTTCTAAGCTACAATGTTATATAGAAGCAATGTTAATTCTTAGCTCAGTTGTATTGGAATAGTTGTAATTCAACGCATGACTTCAAAGCAATTAATATTGCGGGTTGCCTGAAACTGTTACATAAAAAGTACTTCCATTATCTGCAAACATCTTTTACAATTACATTTTATAATGACAGTCTTATCTACATGGGATTGGGAAGTTTAGCATAAGTGTTTCTTTATCGATATAATATCAATCGTGTTATCAATGTTCAATTTAACGTAGTTGTGGTCTGACCCAAATATGCTCTTGAAATACTTTGTTTCTTGCAAGAATCCAAGTTTAGTACTGAACAACGAAATTGATAAACTCCATTGAATTTTTAAAATGTGTTCTTAATGTTAAATATGACGTTGCAGTTTTATATTTTCTATTCTAAGATTTACATGTACACTTGTGTCCACGAGAATCCAAGTTTAGTACTGAACAACGAAATTGATAAACTGCATTAGATTTTAAAAATATGTTCTTAATGGTAATTATGAGGTTGCAGTTTTTTATTTTCTATTCTAAGATTTACATGTACACTTGTGTCCACGAGTGGTTTGCATTGTTATGTGATGCGGGGAGAATTCGTCCTGTTTATATATTTTGTGCATCTGGCTGCAGTAAATGTTGTGCTGTATTTTCAGTATGTGTGCGTTTAATTTGTGTATCGATAATCTTATTTGATTATTGATAAAAAGTTTAGGGAAATTATTATTCAGCAAGATCTGTTCGACATTTCTGCGTGTGCTGAAAATATTTTCAGGGAAAACGATGCTTCATGTAATTAGCAAGTTTCTTCATTTCACATTGTTATTATACATTAAAGGCATTTATGTGCCTTGTGGGGGAGTAATGGTTAATGAGATTGTTTCGGTAGAACTGAATTGCGACTGAGTAATGAGTTCTATCCTCACTGGTTGCCCCATACTTTCGGCCTTGGAAAATCACTATATTATGGGAATCCCCAATATTAAGTAGAGAAGACGTCGATTTTTGTTGTTGATTCTTGCTAAATATATTAGTGTTGTCGTCTGCGTAAACATCGAGGAATGGGGTTTTGTTAATAAGTTCTTATGTGAAATTTTGTATAGATCTTTTCAAAGATGAGTTTTAGATTTTCAATTTCTTTACTATCTTTCTATAATTTAAAAATAGTGTCGTTATACCATTGGTGTTTGGTGTTTCATTATAAAAAGCTAGAGGAAGTAGGAACACAGGTGCTGTCCATACTAACACCGTTGTATATATATATATATATATATATATATATATATATATATATATATATATATATATTATATATATATATATAATTTATGTATTTAGGCAGCAATTTTTTTTCATGAATATTTCATTGAATACTTTTTTGTTTTTTTTATGAATATCTCTTGCGATCTAATAATGTTTTTCGTTTCAGATGATAAATTATATAAAAACTGTCCGAATGTTCTTTTTATCCGAGGGCTTTCAGCTATATATTTAACCATTTCGAAGGATGAAATATTTTAACTGTTAGATAAGAAATAGTTTGTTGCAGGTATGTATTTGTATAATATATTTTATATATATATATATATATATATATATATATATATATATATATATATATATATATATATATATCCTCACCTTTTAGCGCCACTCAGATTCGGAGTATCAAGTCCGACGCAATTTTCAACTGTTGTGTCAATACAGACAGTGACATAAATTTTGTTAAATATATCTTGTTATTGAAATAATGAGGCAATCTACATTTTATATGGGGATTGTTTCTTTAATTTTCTATTTAAAATAAACGTACTTAAATTATATGTATTTTAAATGTAAATTCATTAATAAAACGCAGGCATCCGCACATATTTACTTTTTAGCGAATTATAGAAGTAAAGCTAAAATATAAATGTATATATTCACATCTAAATATTTATAAAAGGAATTGGACGTGCCTTTGTTATATATATATATATATATATATATATATATATATATATATATATGTTTTACGAAACTAGTTACATCTAACATGTTTTTAATTTAAACGTTCTATTTG